AGGAAAAAAATAATAAACCAAAATAATAAGGATTGAATTGAAAAAAATAATAAATGAAAAATTGTAATTGAAGATCTAAACTCAAAAAAATCTTTTATAAAAGGTTTATGAAAAACAAAGAAATCAAAACAATAAAGATTGAATTACAAAAAAAAAATGTGAAAAATTGTAATGGAAAATTTAAATTAAAAAAAAATCAAAATGGAAAAAAGATGATGAAGGAAAGATTTTAGTCAAAAAAATTAAAAATTAAAAATTAAAACTAAAATATTAAAAATAAAGAGAACTAATAAGTACTTTCTTGGGCAGGAAAAGAAAAATAAAGTAACAGTAATTAATGAAAAATTATCTATTTATAAATTATTCATTTTTTATTAACACGTGTCACACTAAAAAAAAAAAAGTTATAATGCTTTTAATGACATAAAAAAAAGCAACATTTGATAGTTGGAAATAGCTGCACAAACCATCCAAAGAACATGGGAGGAATCCACTTGTTAACATGTCCATGTCGCGCCATAATTTTTTTTTTAATATTTTAAATTACTAAAAGATAGAAATGCATTTAAGCCCGCCAAAAACAAAAAAAAAACTAGATAAAAAACTAAAATGCCCATTTAATGAAGCGTTATATGAACAACCTTATAGTCTAAAAATCTATACATTTTAAAAGTATTTGATACCGAGGGTATTCAATTTTTTTTATTGTTCATTAAATAGGAAAAGCACCACAAAACTAAGCTTTTTTGTTTTTTAAAAATTTATTTTAGTAATTTTATTGTAAAAAAACACACAAAAAAACTATGTGCCTGATGATTTTCTTAAAAGATGTGTTCCTATGACAAGACTAAAATACCATCGCTCCCAATTTTCATTGAATCATGAAAAAAATCATTAAATTATTCCCAATGATAAAAAATAAAAAACATTGCTCATAGAAAAAAAAAACTATCTAACATTATTTTTTTGCTAAAATCTAAATATTTTTTCAATAAACAAAAGAAAGAACTGACAATTTATCATTTTTTTCTGTCAAGAATAAATTGCAATTGTGTTGTTTAATTTAAAGTATTTAAAATATATTGGATGCTAATTAACAAACTAGAGTTCATCCTAAGCTTGTAACAAAATCAATTTAAATTACTAGCATGCACATAAACATGTACAATATTAAAGTATTAGACTATATTGTAATTTTCTAGATGGAATAGCAAAGTAAATATGATTTATTTACTTGTTGAAGAAATCTGGATAAATATACAAGCTTTTACTAATTATTTCCTAAGTAACCTTGTAAACCCATGACAACAGTCTTAAATATGAAAAAACAAGAGGTTAATATGTAATTAGGTTATATAATTAAAAGTATCTTGAATTATTATCGCTCTTGATATTTTAGATTATATACTATTTCAGATATGTATAGATACAATTTACAAAGTTATTTTTGGACATTATAATTTAAAAATACTAAATAATAAAATTAATAATAATAATAATTTTAATACACTAAAAAAATACTTAATTATAATTGGATGGTATCTTTAAACTAATTTTCATATAGCATGTTTGTTATTGCATTGAAAAGCAACAAAAAATATGAAAATCATGCTTTTTATATGGTGGAACATATGTGGTCCCGTTTCAATACCAAACTAAATTTAAATTCAATTTTTTTAATTAAAATTAAGCTATTTACATTAAAATAAAAAAATAATAATTCTCATCCTTTTTAGGATATATTAATGTGGAAATCACACGATGGCAACATTTAATGATATATGGTTCAAAATAGACACTATTTTTTATTATATATAGTTTTCAGATACATCTCAGTTTAAGAATCGGATTCCAAGTTTTGCCAAATCACCAGATTATTTGAATCAATTTTTTTAATTAAAACAATATTATTTTAGTAAAAAAACAAAAATAAATAAATTACAATTGAGTTTTTGACAGAATCACACTAGATTTTTTTTTTCTTTATTTTTTTTTAATTTGGCCCAATTCCAATCCTAGATCGTTCAGATTTTGGGTTGACCTCCTGAACTGGACCGGGTTTAAAAACTATATATATATATTTATATATATTAAAGAAAGGGGAAGAGAATTTCACATACCTAATTTTTTCTAACTTCAGAAAGGGGGAATCAAACTCTTTAAACATGTCAACTCTCTTCATACCCCACACCTGAAATGGAGGAGAATCATCGGCAAACTAGGAAACTCCAATGGCTTTGGTTATGATATTAAATTACTGTGTTGCCTGTGGAATAATCAAGAGATGGGGCCAAAGCAGATTTTCTTTCTCTTTCTCCAAAAGTCTTCAACTTCTAGTCATTGATATGAAGACAAAAACATATATGCTGATGCCATTTCTTTTGGCACAACTAGGAGTATCTTGTCACAGCAATGCAATTTACATTGTTTCTCCACAGTTTGATTTAAGTTTGACAGCACTTGCATCCAAAGTATGCCTTCTTGTTTATCTCTATTATATCTATATCTTCATAGTTATTGAATCTAACTCCATATAAATCTCTAATCCAGTAGATTAACAAAAACAAAATAATATTATTTTGATTTTTTAATAAAAATTTAATGAATTCTTCATATCGAAAATTGACCTACAGAAGCAGGGCTAGGAAGTTTAATATGGGTGCTAATATAATGAGATGTTGGTGGGTTTTTGGAGTGATGAAAGTGGAAGATGACTAAAGGGCAGATTGCATGGATTTCCACATGATTGCAGGGTTTTGGGAGATGAACCTGATAAAGAATAATGATGGCAGTTGAATGAAAGTCCACTTCATCTTGGCCTTTAGAGGGCATGTACAATCAGTAGGGTTAAAAGAGCTGCTTCCTTCCTCTAGAAAAATCTCTTAAATATAATTGTTTCCAATTAAATCAAACTCACCAATAAACTGCAGCTCGTCAACTTTTACAGGAGTAGGATACCCTCCCATAGAGTTCAAACCTAGCTTCTAAAGGTAAAAATAAATAAATAAATGGAATTTATCTATGCAGACTTCAGAGATGCCCCATTGGGAAAATATATTCATTCTTTTCTTAAAAAAAGAAGAAACCCTAGTCTACCATGATCCTTGCTCCCTGGTAAGAGCATCTCCAATGCAGAAGTTAAATGAATAATTAAAAATAAAAAATTAATATTTTAGTTTTTTTTGTTTGTTTTGTACACTCCAAGAAGAAAGCTAAACAAAATACTAAAATGCTTTTTCTCTTCCACAAATGCTATTTCTATATATCTTTTTAAAGAGCTAAAATCAACAAAGTGGGACCACTAAAAAACTAGACCAATTAAATGTAGACATGTAGAAAAAAAATAACATTAAATAATATTAAAAAATAATAAAATACTTATTTTTTTCATTTTAATATAAATGGCTCTTCAAATGGTTTTTTTCCATTAAAATAGATATGGTAAAATAAGATATATTTATACTCTTTAAAATGTTATTTTATTAATTTAGTTTTTTAAAATAGCATTTTAGATTAAAGATGCTGTAAAGCTAGAGGCATCATGTTCAGGAACATAAAATTGACGGTGGGGGAGGAAAATCTGTATTGATTCTGAGCTTTTCTTGGTTATGATGACGGGCACTTAAAACAGAGGTTCTTCTGATATTGTCGAGGAAAAAAAGCAACCATTTTATTAGAAAAATGAAACAGACGACAGGAAGAATATTAGGTTGTCTGTGGTGGTGGACACCTTGATATCTGATCCCATTTAAAAAATGTAATTACTCGGGAAGCCACCATGCCCTTGATGAGCATGCAGGCAGCAGGCCGTAAGTGAGCAATCAAGCCATTCATCCCTAACTTATTTTTTCAGGCAATCCATGGTTTTACAGTCATATTGAAGACTTGAAAATTACTTGTAAATGAAGGTCAAATGTAGAAAATTACGCAGCAACCTCATGCTACCAAGGGATCCCCCATCAAGATAGCTTCCTTTATCTTCTTTATTCCCATCAATCTCTTGCACACGCACCCTCGCGTTTAAGGATTCGTGGATTATTATAACTAGATAAAGAGCTGTTTGGCTTAGCATTTGCTGTAACATTTTTATTTAATAGTTATAATATATTTTCATTTATAAATCCTATTATTATCTCTGTTCAAAACTCTACTTATATTTTCATTCATAAACCCTACCATTATTCATTATTCATGTTCAAAACTCAGTTTTATTAAAGTAAAAATTGCATATTTTTTATCGTGAAATTTTTTTTTCATAAACATAGCCTCTTTCTGCATAATACTCTTCATTATTTTTTTTTATTCAAGTTAATTAATTTACTCTTCATTATTTCCATAAAGAGTGCATAATTTACTTTTTATTATTCTCATAAACAATAGAGACACTCCACTATTCGAACATAACATGATTAAATATGATCCAAAACTAAATATATTGAACCGATTCACCTAATAAAAAAATCAATTTTTTTTTTAAAAATCATTTAATAACAATAATTAAATATACAATATCTAAATTAAAAATTATATATACATATACATATATACATATATATATATATATATATTATTTTGTAAACTCAATTTAAAAAATATTCTTAACTAAATACATTAAATTATTAAACTAATTTCTATTTGATCTTAATAAAAAATTATTTTTTATAAATCAATTTTTTTTTAAATTTCTACTACCCTAAAAACACTCAAAATAGATTTTTTTTATCCTTTTTATCTTATGCTCGATACCTTGCCAACCTCTTCGGAGAATTAGGAAGCAACCCTTTCTTGACCAGGAGGCTCTGCTCGGTCTTGGATTAACCACACCCAAAAAAAAAAAAAAACAAAAAAGAATAAAGAAAGAAGAAGAAAGGTATAGGACTCAAATATTTTGCTGTAAAGCCTGGCATCCCGATTGGGAACAAAGGAAGACCCATGATCGAAGTGCCTTAGCCACCAAAATGATCACGCATAAGAGAGAATAAATAGGCAACACAAACCCCACAAGAACTCGCACAGCTTAAATACACAAAACTTCAAATTTCAAAAACAAAGTCTTCAATCCAAGGCACATAAATTATCCCACCTCCTCACCTTCATCCTAAATATCGGCAAGCTAACACAAGAAAAGAGTAATGACGACCTGCCGCAGCATGATTCTATGTTCCTCATATAATATAAATCATTGCTAGTATATCCTAGCAACATGCCAGAGATAAATCTAAACCACACTACGAGAATGATATGCGACTACATGGTCTGCCCCTCTTAAAAAAACAAACGACCCAGGTCCAGCTGGAAAGGGGGGCAAAAAGAAGCCAGCCCCTAGTTCATCATAAAGACAAGGCTTGTCAAAATGCAGGATAGATAGCTCAAGCTTGTCCGGACAAAGGATTTCATCATCACATCTTCAACCATTTCAACTTTTGCTGGAATCGGGAGAACCATCATCATAAGACACCAGGCCCTTCTTCCGACCAGGGCTTCTAGATGATGACCTTGATCTGTCTTTACTGGGTCGCTTGGGAGACTGGGAGTCCAAAGAGGATCGTGATTTTGATGGGCTACGGCTACGAGACGGCAACCTTCGCCTATCAACTCGTGGAGACACACGTGACTTGGACACGTCAACTGGGGAACAACTGCGAACAGGGCTGTGGCTATAACGACGGTTACGATAGCGGGGGCTGCGTGATACAGATGGGCTACGTGTCCTGCTTCTCCTCCCTCTGTATCTGCTAAAAGTATCATATAGAGAGATCAGGTTGGCAGGATGGAAAATTGTACAACCAAGGACTGATAAAACACTTCAAAAGAACCATCCCACTAAACAAGACATGCAATTCCAAGCAAACAAGCATTTCCAGCATCACTACCATCCAATGAGAAATAAAATCAGCCAAAAATAAATGAAGTAAATCACCGACCTTGGTGGAGTTCTTCCTCTTTGAGGACTCCTATAACGCCTAGGAGAATACCTTCGGTAACTGGTAAATCTAGAAACATATCATAGTGAGTTAGCATTCTAAAAAAAACATCATGTAGTTGAGCATGATAGTTCAAATGACCTGGATAAATTAGAACAGAAACGGGCAAATAACAAAGGAGGTTGGCTTGCCAAGTACCTATCACGGCCGCTATAACGGTAGGATCTCACAGGAGAACGCTCTGGAGAGGGGGTTCTGTATCTCCGAGCATAAGCGTATCGTTGACTGAAACCCCTTCCCCTCCTGATACGCTTGGGGGACCCATTAGGGGAAACACTTCTTGACAAACTTCTTCGATCAGGAGACCTTGCCCTCCGTATGCTTGGGCTCCTTGAATAGCTGCGACGATTATTCCTGCTTGGTGCCCTAACTGGGCTTCTGCTAATGCTTCTCCTTGAAGGAGCCCTACCAGAGCTTCTGCTGATGCTTCTCCGAGAAGATCTGACAGGGCTTCTGCTGATGCTTCTCCTCAAAGATCTAACTGGGCTTCTGCTGAGACTTCTCCTCAAAGATCTAACTGGGCTTCTGCTTACGCTTCTCCGAGAAGATCTAACTGGGCTTCTGCTTATGCTCCTAGAATCTCTTACAGGGCTTCTGCTTATAGATTTTTGCAATGATTGAGACCGAGATCTCACAGGGCTCCCGCTTATGCTTCTTCGAGGTGGTAATCTCACAGGGCTCCTGCTAATGCTTCTTCGAGACCTAGATCTCACTGGGCTAGTGCTTATGCTTCTAGCCTTCTTTGCCCTCACAGGACTTCTGCTGAAACTTCTAGCTGGGCTCCTGCTGCTTCCACTTCTAACAGGACTTCTGCTGATACTCCTCTGGGAAACATGAGGATGGCTTCTACTAGCACTGTGACTCCTGCTAGTGCTTCTCTTTGGACTAACACTCGGGCTCTTGCTCAGGCTCCTCCTGGGACTAATACTCTTACTTGTGGTCCTCTTGGGACTCATACTTTGGCTCCTGCTCATCAACTTTCAATAAAATACAGATCTGGAAGAATCTGTAAGCATAAAGAATAACTGTCACAAGATTTGAAAGTAGACCTAGATTTTCCTGGGTGACCATCTCTGATATCAGGTTGCCTATCTTCACTTCCAAAAGATTTAGCATCTGCCTCAATACCATCACTTCGTCGTGATCCATTTTCCTTGGGGAATTCACCATCTTCCTTTTCAAGTATATCAGGTTCCTGTCTCCTTTTACGAGGAAAGGAGGCCGCTTCTTCCTCCAAAACCATAGGAGATTGATCATCAGCTGCATAACATTACATGAAGCAAATAGTACAATATTTGTTAAATGCAGAGTGGATGACTATCACACGAGAGTGGCCACAAGGCCAACTTGAACAAAATGCAAATAAAAAAGCAATTCAGGAAGTATCACTATCTTTCCAACATTGTTAGCATTAGATATAAAATTGCAAGCATCCAAATGTATTGCAAATTTAACAAGAACCAGCATAGCAACAAAGATGACACATATGCAACGTGATTTGAAATAAAGTAGGAGCAACCAGATGATATTTTCCAAACACACTGCTGCAATTTTGGATGAGTGAAAAAACATACAGAATGACTTCAAGAAGCAGTACCAGTTTTCTGAGAAGGGCCCCTGCACTTCCTGTCTTTTGCTTGAGCATCATCATCAGAGCTGGTTTCACTCTCACTCTCAGCATCTGTTAGACTATCTGATGATCTAAGAGAAGAAGGAATTAATTCAGTATGGAACACGGAGAAGATACAATATAAAACATGAGTGACTGACAAGTGTTAAAAAAATGAAAGCCAATGAACTCAAAAACATAAATGATTAATTACATAACAAATGGGTTCACACTGTCATATCTAAAATACTTCTAAAGAAAGCAGATTCAAGTCTGTACCACAGAATTTCTATCAAATCATTTGTAACACCTAAATGGAAATTAACCTATCTGCAGTAGCATGTGGGGGTAAATATCAAAGACCAACAAAGTAGTTTGGAACCTTCCCTTGATTTTAAGAGCATACATAAAACATTAAGGGTATAAAAATCATGGCTAAGCAACTACCTTCTTGATCTACGCTTGGATCGTTTATCACGTCTCTTTCGCCTTTTGTCACGTCGCTTATCTCGTTTTTTGCCACGTCTGCGTTTATCTCGTTTAGAAGTTCTCTTTCTCTTCCTACGTCTGTCCTCACTTGAAGAACTAATATCAGATGATGAGGACATAGAGTCAGAATCACTGTCAGATTCCGATGATTCCATATCAGAATCAGATGAATTCTCTGAATCAGACGAATGGTTTCTCTTCCTCCTCTTCTTTCTGTCTCTAGAAGATTTCTGGTGCTTTTCTGTTTTCAGTTTATTTACTTTCTTTTTGTCTGCAGGAAAAAAAAAAAGGTATCTAAAGTGAAACTTGTGAAAAAATAGTGGCACCTCATCAAATAAAAAAGGATGACACAGAATGAGAGGGAAACAAGAAAGAAAGCATTCCTCATACACTTACTGGATCTCTAAACCAAGGAAATCAAACAGACTAACAGTCACACTTATCGTAACACATATATTAACAATAGAATACTTACCCTCAATGAATTCACCACAATTGACTATTTTCACTGTTACAGTGGGTCTCCCTTCTTCATCACCCACGTCTTCAATTTTCTTCAGTACTTTATCTCCTTGCACAAGCTTCCCAAAGACCACATACTTCCTGTCATACAAAATCCACAGCAAGCACTATAAAACATGGATGCAACAGCACATCAAACAGACAGTGAAAAGAAGGGCATAAACTTTAAAGTATTGGCATGCTTCCTAAGTAACAAACCTGTCAAGATGATGATTAGCCCTAAAGGTAACAATAAATTGAGAGCCTAAAGTGTCACGATCAGCAATTGACATGGATAGAAGACCAGGTCCATCATGTTTTAGCTTTGGAGACTCATCTGCAACAGTGCCACAAACCACTTGTCAGCACATTCAATCGAGGATCACTTTAACTTGCACAATGAATGTAAGACCTCAGAAAATCATGATAAAATTGTAATGCAAGGCCTGTGGACGAGGCAAGACTGTTGGTTCCCACACTGCTAAATCGCACTGGGGGGCCAAACATGAACATAGTGAAATTATCGCATCAACTGCAAAGCAGATTCTGAGTTCTTACATTACAGCATATTAAAAGAAAAATAAATTGCTTCTGAAAGTGTTGCACAGAGTCAATATCAATAAATAGGGATGTGTCAATGATATGCCCAGACAAAAATCAATCTGCAAAATAACAGTGCCAGTCTTCATTCTTGCACTGTTCATTACATTTCTTTCTAAGAGGGTGGTACTATTCTTAAGAGACCGGACATGCACAGAAAAAGTTTCTTTATTTCAAACCTATCTTCAAATTCAGACCCTCATAGCCTCTAAAAGGAGGCACAGAAAAAATAAAAAACTTCAAAGCTATAGGTACAAACATATATGATAAGCTAGCATAAAAAAAATGGCATGACATGGGGCAGGTCATTCCAACAAAGAAAAACCTATACAATGTGATTTAGTATCATTTGGACAATGGGCCAAGTTATTCAGAAATTTTAAGACATGACATGGGTATCTGTATTGACATTGAGTATGCCCTTATTAAGGAACCACTAAACCTATAGTTAAAATGTACACAAATTCATAATTTCACTTCATTTGGCATTATGCATAAAATGCAAAAATTTCCCAATTCTATGCTCACAAATCCATAACGTTTTCCTTGCAACAGGAATCAAAAGAAACAAAAGATTTCAAGTATTCTCACCAGGAAACTTGTCCCCATATATGCTCTCTCCAAAGGTCCCTGCAGAACAGGAAAACAAAATGGTTAATAATTTGAAGAGCAAAAACATGTCAGGAAGTATTATCCCCTGAAAATCTAAACTCATGCTGCATTCTGATTGCTTGTTTATCCTGATAAAAACCTAAACGCATCGATTATAAGGGAATTTCGATTGCAGACAATTTACAAAGGGCAAATCATAGAGTTATGTCATAAACAATAGTCTCCTCCCTTGGCCAAAACTTACTGTATTGCAATTGTTAATCACTAGAAAAAAGGAATTTAGATCTTTAAATCTAAAGAATGTTATAAATTTCAGGAAAAATTCTATAAATCCACCCTTATACTTTGAACCTAATCTCCAATCTACCCTCTTAACTATCAATTGCATCCATGATACCTCTGGAGGAAGATGAAATCTCCAATATAGCCTTCAATTAGTGAAAATTATCAAATTCTGCCATCCAAGTCTCAGATCCTACAGAGATGTGAAATTACAGATTTGAGTTTTTGAGATAAAAGAGTAGTTCAGATTTTTATCCAAGAAAAAAATAGGGACTGATAGAAACCCATTTAGATTTTACAATTAAACTGTTAAAGAAAAACTTGGTCAGCAACTGCGCAGTAAAGGAACACCCCTTATTAATGGCAGCTAATCCAGTCATTTATCATGGAATACACATGTACATGACACAAACTCTTAAGTTTAACAGATTTCACGAGGTCAATATTAGAGATTTTATCATAGTTCAAGTGTATGGTAGTTGCAATTAAAATTAACAAGATAATCAGAGATTAGCTTCCAAGTATAAGGGCAAATTAGTTGATTTTCCCTAAATTAGAGGGAAATGAGAATATAAGGGGTGGAAAAGTTTCTAGAATAAGTTGAATGTTGTAAGATTGTTAAAACAATTAGTGTCATCATTTCAAATCCATACAACAAAATGAATGAGTCATAAACTGCATAAAATCAAAAAGATTAACAACCCAAATGAACCAACAAGAATTACGTACCATCTCGTTTCAGAATATCACCACCCTGCAAAATTGACAAAAGAAGTTAGTCCACCAGTTGGCAAAATTGTTTATGTTTCAGAAATGGGTTGGGCATGGTGAATCATAGTAAATTTTGAGGATGGACAACTCAGTAAGTACAACCTTAAAACTACATCACAAGAAATGCAGTCATGACCATCAGCCCTGTAACCCTACAGCATAAACAAGGGTAACTGACTAAAAGATGGACCACCTCTTAGGCATGTTCAAACAAGAGAACTAAGCAAACCTATGCAAGAAAAATCTAGATGGACACCAGACAGGACAACAAACCTGAGCCATGGACCCTTTAACGATGCGATGGAAAAAGGATCCCTTGTAGTGCAATGGCCTTCCAGATTTGGGACCAATTCCTGTCTCCCCTGAGTTGAAAAGATTAAAGACATCAGAAAAGCAACTCAACAATACAAAATCAAATTTCTAAAATCTACCCAAACCAGCCTTCAAACAAAAATTAAAAATTCCAATAGCTGAAAAATATCGAATAAAAAGAAGGCATTTCCATCTAGAAACAAGGTAAAAACTATCAATCAAGACAAAAAAAAATGACAAAAGAGACAGCACTACCATCAAAAGACAAGTCATTACAAAGATTACCATAGCATGCAACCATTACCTGTACAAAGAGCACGGAAATTTTCTGCAGTCTTGGGAGCAATATCCGAGAAAAGCTGCAGAACAAAAAAATCACAGAGGAATTAATAAAAATGCAAGACAACACTCAATATACAGGTATTTCCCCATGCATCCAACAAGGTTGAAACATAATGATACCTCAAAAACCATTCTCTCCTTAGGATCGCCATCAATACACAAGTCCATAAAAACCAACGGGTTCTTCTTCTTTGCCGTTTTCTTCTCCATAACTTACAAGTATCACAAACTCAAGCCACCATAAACAATAACCTGATACCCAAATAACACATTACCAACTTTACAGTGAGCTAAAAAAATTGAATTAGCCCCACACCGACCGTGCGAGTAGATCTTGAGCCAGCATTTAATAAAAAACAAAAACCCGTAAAAAAACCATCAAATAACTCCTAGAACCAAAATAGTAGCTCCATTCTCCACAACCTTTAACTAATTTGCAACAAAAAAAAGCTCAAATAACCAAGTAATCATGCAGCCACAAAAAACCCTTAAACCCTAGCTAGATGCCCACAAATTAGAGAACGAGAAAACAAAGAAAAAATAAATCAATTAAATAATCAAATCTAAGTCTTCACTGAATATAAAAGATATACAAGCTCATCTCCCAAAAAAATCCACAGAAATTTAAACGAAATCACAGAGCTGAGATTTTGATAGGGCGTGCCAGATCAGGCACGCGAATTAGAAGACGGAGTAAAAAAGATATAAAAACGAAAATAAAAAAAATAAAGGGAAATGAGAAAGAGAGCTAGGGTTTTATTTTTTACCTGAAAGACGCGGAGCCACAGAAGACTCTCTGTGTGGAGATGAGAAGACAAAAGAGTGACGTGCTGCTTCTACTAGCTTACTAACGAAGGAGAACCTAGCTCTCCTAAATTACAGTGTTACCCTCGTGGTTATCGAGTCTGCTGGGTGCTGTCTTCACTTCTCGTCTTTTTGGAATGACGGGTGTGTCCCGTGTTTTTTTTTAACTGATATCACTTACATTTATCTACTGTGATAATTTTTTATCCAATCAGATTTTAAATAAATCATTTATATTCAAATAAATATATATATATAATTGTTTTTGAGTTTTTTATTTAGAAGCAAAATTACGAAATAAGAAAGGGAAAATTGCTAAGAATACTATGCAGGCAACATTTTATTTTCATATTTTGATAAACTATAATTTTGGTGAATTTAGTAAATGGTTAATAATTACAATTTAAAATATTTTTAATTATAAATATTTAATATGATTTTTTTAGATTTTTTATGATCTGCAACATTTTATTTTCATATAATTTTGTTGTATTTAGCAAATGGTAATAATTGCAGTTTAAAATATTTTTAATTATAAATATATAAAATAATATTTTTTTATTTTTAAAAAATACAAAATTTTAAAATTAATTTTTTAAAAAAATAAAATTTTAAAAAATATGATTTTAACCCGTTCTCTAACAGTTTATTTATATACTGATTCAACACCAATTTTAAATTTTGATGCGTTCACCCGTTATTTAATGAATTTTACTACACTGTTAATATTACTACAAATTTTTGAAATCAAGCTTTCGAAACTAAAAGAGCTACTGCTATGACTATTGTATCCTTACAAACACGGCATAAATGGCTTTGGAAGCGAGGTACAATAGTTTTTTTATGGTGAAATGACTAATATGCCTTTAGAGCAAAAAAATTCAAGCGGTGGTGGGGGGAAGTTTTTTTTTTTAACTTTTTCATTTTAAATACACAGTCAAATAATCACAAACTTTAAAATTAAAATTGTCTTTGCTGTTGAACAAGAGGTTTTTTTGCCCTTTTCTCTTAGTTTTTTTTTATATAATTATCAAATTTAATTATGTTAATTTAGTGTTTAAACACGTATAAAATATTAATTAATTTAAAAGTTCGGCTGTGCATGGATGTTCCCTAGCTCTTTAGATGCATTTACAATGTTCTTTCCTTTTTTCTTCTTGATTTTAGGTCCTTTCTTTACATATTTTAAAAGCAGTTATTTGATTATTTTTTTTCATATTTAGTTTTTATTTTTCTGAATGGTAAATTTTTTATAACTTAAATAATTTTTTTAATTGTAATTATTGGATTTTGTTAACTTTTCAAGTGACAAATTTTAAAGATTTAACCTATTTGATTTAGATTTATTTTTTCAAGTTTTTTTTTTATAATTGATGTTTTTCCATTTCATTATTCTATAGAGTTGTTCAGATTTTATATAGCAAATCACGTGTTTTATAGGTTAACTTAACTTAACCAAACCTAATGTTTTTTTATTTGTTATTGTTGCTAATTTTTTATATTATATTATTAAGTTAATCGAGATTTAACCTGATATTTAATTTTTATTACTTCTATGAAAGTTGTCATCACTTATTTTTTTGTGCTGAAAAAATTAGTAAAAAAAAATAATTGGTTCAACATATGGTGTTATGTGAGCCACAAATCTAAGTAACAAAAAATAAAAGAAAAAGGGGTTTAACTGTACTCATCTTCATAAAATACTATTCACTTGAACAATGTCTTTTTTTAGATTTTTTTTAATTATGATTTTTTTTTTCAAATTTAATTTTATCCTCCAACATTAAATTTATTGGAGATTGGACTTTATATTTTTTTAAAATTTACTTTTTATATTGTTACCCTACTCTCATGACATATACCATAAGTTTGACGAGGTAACTCAATTACCTTGAGTTTTTTTCCCTTTAATAATTGATTTTTTCACTCAATTTTATTATTTAATATTGGATTAATTGATAATTAGTTTTTATGATTTGTTTTGGATTCCTTTTTATAAGGTTATCTCTATCTCATAAAACGAGATATGAGTTTTAATGAGTTAACTCGACTACTTCAAGTTTCATTTTTCGTATTCTTTTTTAATCATTTTTTAATTTTAATTTCATTCATCGACATCTGGTTTATTGGAGATTGAGTTTCATAATTTTTTTAATTTACTTTTTATAAGGTTTTTCTAATCTCATGATTTAGATCGCGGGTTTGACGAATTAACTTGAGGTTTTTTTTCCCTTTTTCCTAGCTGAATTTTTTCTTAATTTTATTCTTCAATAATAGGTTGTTTTGGAATTAGACTTTGTGATTTGTTTTGATTTACTTTATATGAGATTATCTTAGTTTTACGACTTAGATTGCAAGTTTAGTTGATTAACTTGAGTTGACTCAGGTTGTTTTTTCCTTATTTTTAATTTATTTTTTCAATTTTATCTTTCAACACTGACTTTATTAGGGATTGAACCTCATAATTTATTTTAATTTATTCTCCGTAGGGGTTTTTGTGATCTCATAATCCGATTCACAGGTTTGACAGGTTGATTTGGGTCATTATTTTGTTGTTTTTAATTATTATTATTATTATTTCATCTTATAACATTGAGTTTATTGAAAATTAGGTTTCATAATTTATTTTGATTTGCTTTCTATAGTGTTATCATAGTCTTATGACTAGCTATGCAAAATGACAGGTTAATTTGAGTTAATCCAAATCGATCAAATATGTTATCGTTTTAATAATATTAAAAAATTTATTTTGAATATTTATTTTAAATCAAATTATATTTTTTATTGGTTATTTAAATTGTTTATATTACACCAATTTAATTTCTATACAATTTAAGTTTTTTTTCTAACTAAAAAGGCATGAATAATATTTAAATATTATTTTACATTAATTTTTTTTTGATCCGATTAATGGCATAAGGCAAGCTAATAATGTATTGCTAACATGTCTTCAAAAACAAAGCCCCGAGGCCACCATTGTATTCTTGAAAGTTAATGCAACATTTCAAGTGCACGGTCCCTCTAAATCATAAACATTATTTGAAACCCCCACCAAATAAAAAAGTGAAAAAAAAAAGATTATTCCATCTCAACTTGGCAAGCACATAGATTCTTGGCCACCGTGAGCTTTGAATTGGATTATTTCTTTTACTAATGTAGAAAGTAAATACTATAAGCATTACTAATATTTTTATAGTAGAATTTCTTTTAATTATATAAGGGTTAATATGATATGATTCATTTAATTTGATAAGTTTAAAAGCAATATAAATAATTAGTAAAAATATAATTTGACTCTAAAAAAATTCAAGATAATATCTTAAAAAAAATATATTAAAATGAAAATATATTAAATCGACTCGGGTCGACTCGGGTCAATTTGCTAAATTCATGATATAGAGCATGAGACTATGATAATTCTATATAAAGCAAATCAAAATAAATTATGAGTCTTAATTCTCAATCAGTCCAACATTAAAGAATAAAATTTTAAAAAAATCAATAATAAAAAACCTGAGTCAACTTGAATTAATCTACCAAATTTATAATCTAAATCATGAGATCAGGATAACATAATAAAAATCAAATAAAAAAATAATCCGAGTCAACTTGGATCTTCCTGCCAAACTCATAATACGAATCATAAGACTAAAATTAAAAAAAAATTATTAAACACAATACCCAACCAACCCATTATTAAAAATTAAATTAAAAAAAAAATAATCTAAAAAAAGACACTATAAAATATATCATCGAAAGTTAGAATTTCTTCATTTGCATTTAAAAGTTTAATTACTGCGCATTAAACCATAACAATTAATTTACTCCTAACATAAAGCCAAAAATTTAAATAATTAATTATACAGAATTGGCTTGGTGGTTAACGAAGAATATTTCTTCCCTCGACTTCATGAACTCAAACCTTGGGCCAATATCCAAAGAAATTATTAAGTTTTTCTAAATTTACTATATTGGAGGTTATATTGTTAAAATCATCTGGAATAGGAGTTAATTTTGATTTACATGCAAGCTGTTCTAATAATATATTTATTCTAAATTGAATCCTTCAAATTATCTACTCTACTTTAGCATCACAATCACAATCTTAAAGATCGTGCTAAATATCTCATAATTATTAAGATCATGCTAGGATTTTAGATAATCACATTTTTAAAGATTATATATACTAGAATTAAATACTATCTCTCGAATAAGGATTAAATAACATCTCTCTCTACACACGCACACATATATACACATTTCTGATATAGTTTAAAATTTAAATTTTATATAAATATTAGTCAGTGATATAAAATCATTTTAAAAAGCTCACTCCATCAATTAAGTTTTTGAATTAAGATGATTTTTTTATTTAATTAATATAATATTATCCATTAGCTCATTCATTTCTTAATTTGACCTCCAAATGCAAAATGAAAAATCATAATTTTGAGATATTTAATACTTCATCTAATTTCTTATCTTGAATCTTAATGCAACCTGAAAAATAAAAAATTCAATTGCTTAATTTATAGTTTTTAAAAATCAAAAAAATTCCATGAAACATTGCTACATAGTAACATCTAAAGTGTAAATGGTTGCTTGATATATAGTCAGGGGACTCTCTAAAGCTTAAACTGGTAAAACAGAGAGAAAAGAGGTGAACTAAGAGGGGATCAAGCTGGGTGATTTAGATCCTTGCTTTTTCTTTCATTTTTTTCCTTCTTTTTTTTTTTAATTATAATGAGTTTTTCATTGATCAAAGTCAGCTGGAGCAAATTGCTTACAAGGTTTGTACAATATACAAACACCACAATTCAAATAAAAGCAAACTACGTACTGAGAGTCCCAACTCTTGCATAGAGCATCGTTTCTGGGATTTACAGTAGCTTCTGTATGATTCTTGTTTCGTGGAGTTAAGAAGATTGGAATTGTAAAAACGATTATTTTTTAAATTATTTTTTCATTAGAAATATATTAAAAAATATTTAAAAAATTAATTTTAAATTAAAAAAAATTGAATTTCAACTGCAATTTCAAACGAGGGCTAACTCGACACTAACAACAACCCCATCCATACCATGCACTCTTCTGTTAATTTCTTTCCAAATTTGATAAATATAGGAGCATTAGGAAATCATCAACAGAACAAAAAGAAAACATTTGTTTTATAGAAAATAAATAGCCCAATCCAAGTACTCTTCCTGCCAATTCCCAACCTGCTTAAAATTCCCACTTTTCTTCAAAATACGTTGTAATATATTCTTAGTGAAGCTACAAGAGATGAATAGGTGATCATATATCCAACAAAAAGAAAATATTTCTCATTTTACAATATTCTTTCTCATAAACCAGGTCTATGGCAGTTCATGTATCATCTCCGCAGGCGATGAAGTACCTTGCCCTTCTGAGTTGTTATTGTTAATCTACTAATTACATCAATTTATATTGGTAGAGATAATATAAATTATATTCTGACCTTATTTAATAATTTAATTTTTTTGGTTGAGATAATTTTTTGATATAGTATCAGAATTTTGATAACCAAATAATTACGAGTTTGAATTTTATCATTATTATTTATTTAATAAAAATTAATATGTTTTGATAACCAAGTAGTTACGAGTTTGAATTTCACCATTATTATTTATTTAATAAAAATTAATATAAGATAATGTGCTTGACAAGATGTATTAAAAAATAATATAAATTATAGATTTGTGTAAGTTTCAAATTTAAAAAATCCTGTATTAAAAAATAATATAAATTATATTCTGAAATTTTATCTAATAAATTAAAATTTTAAATGGAAATCTCTTTTCAGGATGTATTTATCTTATGCATAATGTCCGAGATTGCTTGGTCATTTTGCTACTAGTAGTGTGTGGCTTTGTGGCTTCCCTAGCATTTAGCTTTTCTTCCCCGTGTTTTTGAGAGTGGTTTGACTCCTTTTTGAAAGATCAATGGACCGAAAAGGTTATGTTTTGGAAAAGTAGTTTGGAAATTGAAAAGAAAAACATTACGACTTCGAGGTTGCCAGTTAACTATTGTTACGTGTATGCCAAGTAAAGAGGACTGAACGGGATTGAAGAGAACAAGACTACCTCACCAAATGAGATGCTGCTGCGAAAATTAAGTCGTAGGATTGAACAATTTTATTATTATTTTTTATCATATATCCCATATGCACGTTAACACTAACACCAAAATGTCTTGTTTAGATACGTATATCAAATGTTACCTTAATGCGCTATACGAGAAGAGTCGTTATATATACGAAGATGGGGTTGGACAAGAACTAATTTTCATCATAAAATATGCTCAGTAAAGTTATTTTGTCCTCATCTATCAAACGCTACTCGAATGAACTCACCTGATGAAGCAAGGAAAAACGATGGAAGCATTGTGAGTTAAGCACAGGATAGTTTGAAGATGTTTATTGAGGAGAGTTTCATTCCCACCTGATTGACATGCAACTGTGTTATAGATGGATTAGTAAAGGAGGGCCCTGTCAACTCCGCGTTGTTAATTTGTTTATACAGGGATAACAAAAGTGGAGTACTGTCCCAAATGTCTTCTCTTACACTTGCTTGATTATCGGGTTTTGCAAGAACAATAATTTGGATCTTGCTGTGAATATGCTGGATGAGATGAAAAACAAGTTTACTGAACTGGATGTTGCTGTGTACTGTGCTCTGATTGATGGATATTGCCATAAAGGAGACATGGCAAGTGTAAGCCAGCTTTTCTCTTAACTCCTCGAGGTTGGCATATCTCCTAACACAGTAATATTCTACAGTTCCATGGTTAGTGGCTTCAGGAATCTCCAGAATATGGAAGCAGGACTTGACTTGCACAAGAGAATGGTGAGGGGATTCCTTGTGATTTGCAGGTTTACACAAACACTGGTTTCGGGATTGCTGAAAGCGTAAATTACTCTTTGCGTCAGATCTTTACGCAGAGATATTCATGCTTGCTAAGAGTATCTATCATGCCTGATTTAATAACTTTTAGTGTTCTTATATGCAGTCTTTACAATAAAGGACAGCTAGAGAACGCACATAATGTTTTGGAAGGCATCGACAAGGAATGCATGAACCCCAATGTCTACAAGAAGCCTTTAGACAGCACGATGAGATGCTCGACAAAAGGCCTTGTTCCTGATGAGACTACCTACGATATTCTTGTAAATGGAAAAGTCAAAGATGGAAATCTCTTTTCAGGAGCTTCAAGTGTTCGAATCCAACCTTGTAATTTTCTTTCCAGATCATCGTGCTTCTGATTCGGGCTGACTCTTAGCTGAGCTGAGATATATGGTCCTTCAAGATACTGAAGCGCATCACGATCAACATTAGTCCGTACCAAGTGGCGACCATCTCTGTTGGACGGTTTGGTACAAAATTTAGAATTTCGTGCGTTAATGAGAATGTTTACTTTATTAAATATGTTAGTTTTTTAAAATATAATAATTAATTTATTAAACAGATTTTATTTTTTTTAAACTCATTTCATCATCATGATAATTAATATTATTTAAAAATATATAATATTTTTTCTAATTAATTTAAAATAATAAATTATCTTTTAATTACTCAAATATTTTTATATAATTTAAATTTGAGTATATCTCAGTCATGAAAACAACTATTTTTTATAAAAAATAATATATATATATATATCAATTTTAATAATTCTAATTAATATAATTTTAATAAAATATTAATCAAATTTTTTTATAAATAGTGCTTTAGTGCATTAGATATCTCATTATAACAATTTTCTATATAAATTATTATTGTTTCATAAATTTTATCTTTAGTCTATATTTATTAATTAAATATAATTAAATATTATAAATAAATAAAGCCTTTATTAATAATAAATATATTTTACATGACTAAAATTAGTGTTACATATAATTAATTAATTGATTATAATATATATTCACTAACAAAATCAACTTCAAGAATTTTTTTCTTATTTTTTTGGTCTAAATTCAAGTTTTTTGTTCTTTTTAAACCAATAAAACAATAATATTTTAGAATTGATTTAGATTAGTTAAATAATTTTCAAATTGATATAATGATCCAGACCCTTAATTAGTACAACAGGAGTAGACCCTTAATTAGTACAACAGGAGTGACAACTACATTCACTACTCAATACTCAAATCTTTAATTTAAATTAATATAAGAATATTTTTATTTAAATTAATCTAAAAATATTTTTTATGTTAATTAATTTGAATTTATTATATATTTTTTAATGACAATATACACTAATTTGTTTTTCCATTCTAGTTATCAACTATAATTACAAAATCCATTTCAAGTAATAAGTTAGACGAATTAACTTTGAGGCGTTATCTATAATATTATTTAAGATTATATTTTAAATAGTGTTTTATAAAAATTAAAAAAAATTATTTTTATTTAAAATTATTTTTTATGTTTTTGAATTGTTTTAATATATTAATATTAAAAATATTTTTTTAAAATAAAAAACTTTTTTTAAAATATTTCTTAATAAAAAAATACTTTAAACTTTTTTTTAAATATTTCTTAATAAAAAAATACTTTAAAAAATAACCATTAATACACTCACTAAATATCTCATTAGCAACATCATTTTAATAATTAAAAAAAAAAATCAAATCGTGTTTTACTTAAACTCTAACTAGATAAGGAGTTAACCTCCCAGGTGATCAGATTTAATAAAACCAACTTCCATTTAACTTGATATGAAACCTGGCCCATTTCGAGCCGATGATCATCAGATTAACTTGGTGAACAAGTCGGGTCATAATACAGCAATCAAAGAAGAATCCTTTTCCAACACAAATTAAGATTTCAACAGATTTGGTCCAGTCCAATGGGTCCCGTTTTCCAAAATTTGATTTGGTAGAGAGAGAAGAGCTTCATAGATAATCTTGAATCCCACGTCACCAAGGAGGATAAAACATTGCCTAACTTCTCATCAATCCTTTGTTCCTCCCAATTAAATAATGCAAAAACAAAAACACCGTTCTTTTTAGGAAAATAAAACCTTTTTTCAAGGAAAAAATTAAATAAAAAAAGTCTCTAAATTGAAAATCAACCCCCCTACCCCCCACCCAAAAAAAAAAAAAAATCTCTCTATGATCGAGCTTTTCACGGGTTATCAATGCAAGGTTAGTGAATTTTTTTTTTTAAATCCTTCTTAAATTTTTATTATGTTTTTCAATTTATACATGATTAAAATAAATTTATGTTCTCATTGAACTAATGAGATTTTTAATTTTTTTTATGTTTCCCAGTTCACTGTATTCTATGTTAATTCGATTTAATTTAATTTTTTTCTCATGTAATTTTGATCAATTCGGATTTTTTTTATTAATGTTTGTTGTGTATTTTGCTATTTTGAGTTTAATTTCCTGCAAGGTGATTGCATAAAGAATTCTCTTTTTTTCAGGGTTTTTTCTTGATGGGTTTGACTTATTATTGTTTTTAGGTTACTAAAGTTTGTGTTTTTAGCAAAATTGTAGAGTATCTTTAGAGAAAGATCAAGTTTTTAACTATCAGAATTGTAGAGTTTCTTTAGAGAAAGATCAAGTTTTTAACTATCTAAACCTGGGGATTAATTGTGATTATTATTACTAATTACATCTCACTGAGTAATGATATTTTGGTTTATGTTAATACAGTAACAGTTTGTTGATATACATATATGATTTGTTTCTGTTTTTAGGCTATACTTGTTTTAATTAAAAATATTTATTTCCGCCTCGGATTTTTTTTAATGCTTGGAGACATAGAAGTTTCTGCAATTTTAAATGTTGTTGAAGTGGTTTCTGATTACTAGAACTTAAATTCCTTCTTGTTTCAGACATCGGCGAATTTGGGGATATCATGAAGTTCAAGAAAGGAAGTAGAGTGGAGGTGTTAAGAAAAACACACTTGTCGTCCTGTGCATGGCGGTGTGGTGAGATTATCTCGGGAAATGGACAAACTTATTGGGTTAGGTATGATGGTTTGTCGGGTTTGAATAGTGAGGATGATGTGGAGAGTGTGTCAAGAGAGGTAATTAGGCCCTGCCCTCCACCTGCGGATGTTTCAGATGGTTGGGCTGTTGGTGATTTGGTGGAGGTGTTCGATAATCTTTGTTGGAAAACCGCAGCAGTTATGAAGGTCATGAGGGGAAATTGTTGCTTGGTTAGGCTAATCGGGTCTTCAACAGAACTTCGAGTCGACAAAGTTAACATTAGGATGCGCCAATTATGGCAAGATGGTGGATGGGTTGAAATTGGAAAGGTAAGATATATTCCATTCTTCTCTACTGTTTTTTTGGTTCATAGTTTTTGGTTTCCATATTTATGCTTGTTGTCTTTATGTACGTGGTTCGTTAGCCTGGCTAACATAGTTTGCTTCATTTGCTTGTTCGGACTTCTGTCAAGCCAATTATGAATATTCACTTCCCATGTGCTGCATGTGTTGACTAATAATTATTTGTTGGCTACTGTTTCCAGGGTTCTGGCAGTTTTGAAAATGAGAAGTTGAATAAACCATCAGTTTTCAGTTGTTATCAGAAGAAGAGGTCTCTAATGCAGCAAGCCAGTGAGAAGAGGAAAGTGCAAGCAAGAGAAACTTGTTTAGCTATTGAGCACAACCTTGGTTTCCAGGAGTCTTGTGCTATGTCAGCTAGAACATCCAAGAGGGCATCCCCAGTTTGGGCAACTCACTTGGAATCATGTAATGAAAAAGTTGACAAAATGAGAGCAATTGAGAAACAGAGTGAGGTCCGGCGAGTGATATCAGGGTACCCATCCTCATTCATGACAAAGGTAGATGCTGTTGCTTACCCACGAGAGTGTCTGGGTGAAATATACATGCATGCTTCCTCTAACAATCAAACAATTGGATCTTGTGAAATGGAGAGGCGAACACCAAATAATTTTGTCACTTCTTTTTGTGGAAGAAGCTCAGAATCCAATGATTCTGATAGTGATGCATGCTCCGTTGGTAGTTGTAGTGTTAATAGTGACAGTCCAAACAGACTGTTTAATTGTGTTGTAGCTGGGAATAGTCCTGATGCAGATACCCTTAGTAGTGATGCTGAATCTTTTTATGGCCATGGAGACAAGGAAGAAAATTGTTCCCTTCCCTTAGGAGAGGATGTTAGAGTAAGAATCCATAGTTTAGAGTTGCATGCTTATCGTTGCACTCTAGGGGCATTCTATGCTTCTGGGCCCTTAAGTTGGGAACAAGAAGCATTGTTGACAAATCTCCGTATCTCACTTAACATTTCAAACGATGAACATCTGATGGAGCTAAGGAACTTAATTTCTGCTGGAACAAGCATTCATATTTGTTAATGTTTCCTCTCCATTTTCTTGTTTTTAGGTTTTTTTCTCTTCTAGCAACAGGTTTTCTTTTGGGTTTCATGACCTCACATCATTGTAAGCAAGATGAAATTGTTACATTTTGTAGCTTTATTATAACTCTTCAATCTAGGTGATGAGCTGGTGAAAATTTGTAATTTGGATTCTTATTATATTATAACCTTTCCAGGCCCATTAATTTGTTGTATGCTTCTCTACGATTCTATGCTCCTTTTTCTCCATTTTCCCATCCTCTCTTTATCCTTTGTTTTGCTTTAAGGAACTTGTAACTGTTCTTTGGATATTTCATCAGCCACACTATGCCAGAATGATATGGCAGCTACAAAAAATGCAGTTCATATAGTATCTTTGAATTTGCATTTATTTATGATCTGTGGTTTGGTAAATATTGTTGAGGGTGCTTACTCTATTTCACATCTGATCTGTGAAAAATTGCGCTTCTTCATCTGGTGTTTGGCATGCAAGTAAAGGGAGCCTGTTCATTTAGCATGCATGACAGGATGATTAAATGTTGTATCGAATGGAAATTGGAAGATTTGGTTGTCATGGAGTGTGAAGTCCACATCAATATTATTTATGTCTTCTTGCCAATGGAATGCCTATTGCTTCCCAACTTTCTTTCATACAGTTTTGAGGTTGTTATTGATGAATCCCTACATTTTTCAGGGCCACAGTTGGAGGCATGCGAATTTTGCTTCCAAAGGTCTAGAGATGATGCTGGGGACCTGTGGTTCACCATCATTTTTCTGGCTCAACGAGTTGGGGGCAATGTTTGCATCTTGTTCTTTTCAATTATGCCAATTAGTGGCCGGATACTGACATCATTGTTATTTCCTCTGATACCATAGTTCGTTTCAGGTGTGCTGGGATCATGTGCAGAGTACTGGATGAATTAAAAGCAGAACTCTGATATGGCTGACATGAGGAGGTCATCTTAGCTCCAAGATTGAATCATGCACAAGATTTATCTTGCCCTTCCTTTTTGGGTACAAATGCATGTTCTCTTACTGATTACAATGTCATTAACTGCTAATTTTATTTAACCCAAGTTTCCTTCAAAATATGTATCCCTTCTGGTTTTCTTTTGGCAGTTTATGTTTTATAATGTGGTACTGTTAGAATTGGAGTGGAGTACTCAGTTGGCTGCTGCCAGTTTTGTGTAAGAAGTACAAATCTACTAGTTTATTGATCAGCCATCAAATCAGTAAATATGCAAGTCATATTGTCCATGGGAAAGGAGGGTCTAATGAATTCTTGCTATTTGAATTGTTGGGGTCCTGGACATGGGTTTCAATATTTGGTTGAAATGGCAATGTATGCTGGAATAGTGACAGTCTGTTGGGCTGTTCTGGAGACCGAGCACCAATGTAGGCTTAGGAACAACAATAGGATTTGATTCCCTGAAGAAGCATCCGGAAACATTCATTGAAGGCTAAGTTTATTTCCCAAAATTATACTCTTGATTACTTTGACAGCACAGCACCAGATGGTAAGTACTGATGTATTATATAGTATATGGATTTATTTGGCAGGTTCCCAAGTATTCAGATTTTGAATGATATCTAGAAAGTAACAATGTTAGAACTTCATCAAGCATTGATTTTCATATGAATTTGATCCGAAGTAATGATTAACCTCTAATTTTTTCATCTCAAATATATTGCCCTCTAATATGGACGCATTAGTTACAGCTTGTAGTCTCACTGTTGCCAGATTTCTAATCAATATTCTGAGGCAGCATCCCCATTGAAGTTGCTGCTGGGGCTTTAGTGAGAAGTTTAGAGTTTGTTTACAAGTTCATTTATCATGTCTGATGCTGTGCCAGCTGATCAGAGTATAGATTCCCCTCTAATATGGATGCGTTAGTTACAGCTTGGAGTTTATCTGTTGCCAGATTTCCAATCATTATTCTGAGGTCATTGAAGTTGCTGTTGGGGCTTTGGTGAGAAGTTCAAAGTTTGATTATGAGTTCATTTATCATGCCTGATGCTGAGCAAGCTGATCAGAGTCATTCTAAAAGAGCAACGTCGATTATGAGTTCATTTATCATGCAGTTCAAAGTTTGATTATGAGTTCATTTATCATGCCTGATGCTGAGCAAGCTGATCAGAGTCATTCTAAAAGAGCAACGTCGATTATGAGTTCATTTATCATGCAGTTCAAAGTTTGATTATGAGTTCATTTATCATGCCTGATGCTGAGCAAGCTGATCAGAGTCATTCTAAAAGAGCAACGTCGATTATGAGTTCATTTATCATGCAGTTCAAAGTTTGATTATGAGTTCATTTATCATGCCTGATGCTGAGCAAGCTGATCAGAGTCATTCTAAAAGAGCAACGTCGATTATGAGTTCATTTATCATGCAGTTCAAAGTTTGATTATGAGTTCATTTATCATGCCTGATGCTGAGCAAGCTGATCAGAGTCATTCTAAAAGAGCAACGTCGATTATGAGTTCATTTATCATGCAGTTCAAAGTTTGATTATGAGTTCATTTATCATGCCTGATGCTGAGCAAGCTGATCAGAGTCATTCTAAAAGAGCAACGTCGATTATGAGTTCATTTATCATGCAGTTCAAAGTTTGATTATGAGTTCATTTATCATGCCTGATGCTGAGCAAGCTGATCAGAGTCATTCTAAAAGAGCAACGTCGATTGAAGTGATGACATGAAATCCCTTACTCCTTTGTGGAGACAGGAGCACTCGAAATTGGCCTCATTAAGCATGCTGTATTTGAAACCGATTATCACCGGCTGTGGTTAGATTATTTCCCATTGTGATTCGTGACTTGTTCCAATTGTAAATGCTTATGCAGCCTGCTCTGTCGGTAGTTGTAGTTTTGCAAACTGTTTGGTCATAATGTAGCAGCTAGCAGTATTGATGCAGATAACCCTAGTAGTGATGCTGAATCCTTTTTACGCAGATAACCTTAGTAGTTGAAAGAATTAATGGCAATGACAACTGCGCAACAGTCCAAATCAATATATTTCGTTATTTACCATAGCCAGCAAGAATTTGTAGAAACTTGATCCATCATAGTGGATGACTTTTGGTTTTCATTCTGAATTACACCTCGAGTTCATTAATTTTTGACAGATTTCTAAATTATATTGAAGACAGCATCTCCATATCAGATTCACTGTTGGTTGTGAGCAGCTTCTTGCGTGGAACAAACTGAGAATAAACTAGACAGATCTCTTCCAAGGCATGGGATTGCTACTGCTTCTCTTTTGGTGAAAGTGATCAGGAAATCTTGTTATTAAAGTTGGTTTCACAAGAGGCTGACAAGTGATGTCTGAAACACCACATAACCTAAGAAAGGCATGTTGAAAAAGGAAGCAGAAGGGTGAAGACAATCATGGGTTATTGCAAAACCCGCCAAAAAGAACAAATTATCCGGCAGCTCATTAGATTCCATGAAAAAACTATGCGCCCTCTTCAACTATCACAGAGCAGGAAACAGCAAACTAACTGCAAGATGAAATCTGAAAAAAAGAAGGAAAAAAAAAGCAACACGAACTCAGTAGACAAAGATAGGCAGACCAGAGTATGATACCAGCAATACAAGAAGGATCACACGGGCACGAAGGATGTGTGTACCACGCATTTTACAAGAGATTAAAATCTTCCTCCTAAGAATCTCAGCTAAAACGATGAATACATGAAGAACACTGCCTCCAAGCATATTCCCTAGCGTGTGATTACATTTGCCACCAAAACCATTCTAGGTTTTACAGATGCCTCCTTCAGTCAATAAAACAAACAAGATAGAAACCACCCCATAATTGTTCAACTCTAGAAAGCTTCCAACTCTGTAGGATCCAGTGTCCTCTCTGCTTGTAAAGTGTTTCAATGAGAGGGATGCCTTAAGAATTTGTATACATAGACTTGTGTTGCCGCTTTTCTACTAAGAATTCTTTAATCAATTTTTGAAAGAAAAAAAAAGGAAAAGAAAAGCTAAACATGCTACATTGATTGAAACTCGGACATTTTGGTCTCGACCTTTTCTCATCCTTATCTAGAAGATCGAATTTCACTACTCTGAAATTACGGGCTTTAGTGAAGTTGTTCTTTTTCAAACAAGATTTCAATCTCTTCTCCTCCTGAGAACTGCTACAATTTAAAGCTCCATCATCATCTCTTGATAGTGGAACAACTAATTCAGCATCACTCAAAGTGCTTTGTGATGGAAATGAAGAGCTTGACTAGTTCCGGCGATTTCTGTAATCGCAGACTACCGGACGATGCTTGGGTGAGCGAAGTTTCTTTGGAGAATCGTCAAAATGCTGCTGTGTCTTCACCTCGAAGTGAGCCTTGCCTAATGATTGACCGTCAGGGCATTGTTCAAGGAATTGCTTAATATTTGAGTCATCTAAATCCTTCGGGAAAGTAGCATATTCATCTTCAAACTTGCAATCTACTTTAGCTCGTTCTTGGGATACTGGAGGAGATTGTTTCTCCGCGAGAAGATGGAAGTCTTGTCTTATCTCAAACGAAGACTCTAAGGAGTTCCCTTCTTGAGGAAATTGAATTAATCCATCAGATTTTTCCCACCTAACTTCTTGTTCAGCCCATGCTGGACAAATTTCGTCGTCACATGGAAGAAAATGATCTTGTTGTTGCTGCATTAGAGAGGTTTGTAACAATTCATACACGGTATGGCATGGAACAATGAAGAAGACATTTCCGGGCTTCAAAATGGACTCAGGACAAATCGTTATCCATGGAAATCTGAACGCATCAGGTCTCGTAACGAGATGTCTTGGATACTTTTTCATGACCTCGGCAGCTGTTATTGGATTCTTATGAATCTCAACAAAGCCTCCAGGATGCACCAGCTTGAGGAATCTTCGATTCCAGGAGAATGACCCCATTTTCATAGGATTGCAATTTGCAAATGCTTGGTTTGGAACAAGGAAAGATGGCGGCGAGGACGTTGACATTATACTCAAGCTCAGTTGTCGTGTTCTTGCTATCTGACATTTTATTTTTGTCTGGCGAGTATTCTTAAGCATCTTGGGACAGCATAGGCGTTTCCACTCTATGCTGTTGTTTTGGATTCGTCCTCTGCTGTCCAACAAAAGTCTAGGTAAAGTTGCTGATTTATGTTTCATACACGTTTTGTCTTCAACAGTTGAAGCAGACCTTTTCTCCATTACCTTTTCTTGGTGCAGGATCCCCTTTAACCATTTTTATTCTTTCAAAATGTTGCCATAATGTCTGACCAGCCACTAATAGCTTGCTTTCAAGAGTGTGTGTGTGTGTGTGTGTATTCGTGTATCATTTTGATGTACTGAAATAAAATAAAATAAAAAAAATAAAATTATTTCAATGTATTTTGTACATAATTTTTTTTTTTTTAAATAATTATCAAAACATCAAACTAGCTCTAGCTATTGACTATTCCAACTTTTGTTGGATTTTGATGGGAATTTAAATATTCTGAATAAATTCCTTGACGAAGATACAAAGAAAAGATACAACCAGAGTTCCAAAGATAATTGAGACAATTGCAGAGAATACTATAATATTTTCTACAGTCAATAATTCATAATCTTACTTCAAAATTAACACACCAATTGTTTTTATAATGGTAAAATCGATCCTAAAAATTAAAATTAAATAGAAAAATAAATAAAATCCAAAAACATATAGAAAAATAATTAAAACAATAAAAACAACATTTTCTAAGAACGGGAGAGTCTTCCTGACTTCATTGATTACAGCCAACTAACGTTTTAAAATTTAAAATTATGATTGTTTTTGTCAAATTAATCATTTAATATATCCAAACTTCTTTGCAGGTTTTGTCTTGTCTATCTAATCTATAAACACTGGTTTTTTCTTGTTTATATGATCCATAAACACACACACATTACAAAGTTCCCTCATCTTTCAAAAAGCTCTATACAGTTCGAGAGCCCGCCCACCTCCACGGCGAGTGTTGCTCCGTGAAGTAATTGTTACGAGTTTAGCGGGTGATGCTGTGGCAGCCAGTCAAATTCTTGCCAGGTTTAAATAGTCAAATTCTTCCAACGGTGTAGTTATAGTTAATTTTTTTATTTATAAATAAAAATATATTAAAATAATATTTTTTAATTTTTAAAAATTATTTTTAATATTAACATATTAAAATAATTTAAAATCATCAAAAAATAAAAATATTAATTTAAAATAAATAAATAAATAAATTTTAAATTTTTTATATAATTAAAAAACAAAGCACGATAGCAACACTAGAACAAATCAAAGCATGCCAAGTGACATTCATTCGAGATTCGTTTAATTATTAGAATTATTGATAAGATGGTAGCAAGCTAGACCGGCCACTATTGCCTTAAATTATAATGGAACGCCCCTTCCCCATTGTATAGCCCTCCATACAAATCCTCTGCGGCTGAAAATCCAAGGAATTAAAGAAGATCAAATGTAGAGGCATGCTAAGATTTTACTAGCGCCACAAACATCCGAGTCACTCAATTTGCCTCTGGATTTTATTTGGTTTATAAAATGAAAGTGAAGCCATGTTTTAATTCACACTAGACAAAAAGGAATCACCATAATCACATCGCGAGCACTCATTGAAAAGGCCGTGATTTTAATCATTAATCAGCACAACGCTTGCAAATTAAGGATATAGAGCAACACTAAGCATCCTACAGACATCAATCAGCAGTATAAAACCGTAGGTACGGGGATGGAATGCACAAAGCTAGACACTCCCCTGGAAAATGATGAAATGAGCAACTCAAAACAAAGAGGTCAGGCAGAGACCTGAAACCACTCAATTTATACTCATACAAGTCAGAGGACATAAATCCATATCCTTGAAACCATATAATCAAAGCCTCTCACTCCAACAATGACAAAGCCCCTTCTATTCTTTATTCAAATGCATCATCGTCATCATCTGGAAGAGGCTGACTAGCAGCAGCAGCAAGTTCAGCCTCATGCCTGCGGAAATTACAGGCATCAAGAACAAATGTTAAAAACTAAACTGGTGGTATCTACCAAAATGACATAATAGAGTGAGACCAGAAAAATAGCATGGATGGTTTGCTATATCATCTGTTTAAAGATAAGGAATCAAACAAGCCTCTTATATACTTGCTAAACACACAAATAGTCATGGTGCTATATGGATTCATTTTCATTAAATTTGAGAAATTCTTTTTTTTTCCCTTCTGTGTGTAATTGTGTATGCCTATGTATAAACAATGCACAGAATATGCATGCAGAATTGTAAAGATCCATGGACTAGAGAGAGTAACAGGCTAACAAAGAATAACTAATCTAAACAAAACAAAACACTTACTGTGCTTGGGCTACAAGGTCGATAGGCACTTCTGGGGGAGCCAAGGCAGGAGTCTCAACAAAATGCAAGTTCGGATCCCTGCAGTCACAAAACAATTCAAAAAACTATCGCTTGGGGTCCACAGAAATTGCGAGAGTGAAAGCATTCTGATTGAAAAGATTATCCTTTACCCAGCAAGTTTTCTGGCAAGGTACAAGAATGGCTTCTCAAAATTATAGTTGCTCTTAGCTGAAATCTCATAGTATTGCAGGTTCTTCTTCCTGTGAAAGGTAACCTGCTTTGCCTTCACCTGCCTGTTCTTCACATCCACCTTGTTTCCACAAAGAACAATTGGAATGTTTTCACAGACCCTGAAGATTATGCAACACAAAGTGATAAAATGTATTAAATAAATCAGCTTGGCAAAAAGAATTGAAATTAATAGATCATGAACAAAGAACTCAACACACCTGCAAAGATCCCTGTGCCACGTAGGGACATTCTTGTATGTCAACCGAGCAGTGACATCAAACATGATGATAGCACAATTACCATGGATGCTGCACCATAAATTCAATTGCGAAGCAGTTAGTAACTCCAAGATACCAAGAAACAAAATTACAGAAGGACAGGATCAAGAAATATAAAAGTACACAACCAAAGATAAAGGTTGTTAAGACCCAGAATACACCTTCAAGGCATATAAACTAATCCATTAATCACAATTGAATTTAACATAATCAATTCACTCAAGAAACAGCCTAAATCTAACAGCTGTAAACAGAAATGTATTCAGATATTCAATTGCTGACAAAACAACAAAGCGAGACTAAGACATCTTGCAGAATCTGTCAACAACCAAGATCATAAAACCTACTACACAACTATTACACAAGCAGTAGTCTTGTAGACAAATCCCCCGTAAAAATAAAATTGATCACAAACAACCGTTGCACTCGTCACGTTTTTCATAAAATAACATCTCACAATCTATGTAACACAAGCAGTAATCTTGTAGACAAATCCCCCATATAAATGAAATTGATCCAAAAACATTTTTTGCATTCTTCATGTTTTCCATAAAATAACATCTCACAATCAGCACATAAAATTTCACATAGAATATCAAGAAAGGTAAAATCTTACAATAAATCACTTACTAGTATCCATCTCGAAGACCACCAAACTTCTCTTGACCAGCTGTATCCCAGCAATAGAATCTTATTTTGCCACAGTTAGTGAAGAAATCCAACGGGTGCACTTCCACGCCAATAGTTGCTGTATTCATCACAAAAACATCAACCAATCAATAAACAAAAAACGAACTAAAACATAAGATTATTCGAAAATAACAAACGAAATATATATTAACTTACGCTCGTATTTCTTCTCAAACTCTCCGGTAAGATGCCTCTTAACGAATGTGGTCTTTCCTACAATTCAAAACCATCCAGATGCCACAAGTCAGAACCCAAAACAAAATGAACATTAAAAATCAAAACCCCAAAATGACAATTTTCACAAACAAACATTCTCTTCATGTTATCAAATACCCAGAAGCTAAGAACCTAAAATCAAAAACCCAAATTGCAGACAACAGAAAAATTCAATCTTTCTATGAAAAAGCCAACTTCCCTTTAGGAAAAAAAAATCAAAACCCCAAATGCCAAAGAAAATCACTACAAATCAACATAAAACCCAGATAAAAAAACCCGAGACAGATTTAACCGCACAGAGCTTTGACGAAGATAAATTTATACCTGTACCACCATCACCAACAATTACAAGCTTGAAGCTTGGATAATCAACAGTTTGCTGATTCGGCAAAGCCTAGAAATAACCAAAATCCAATAAATAATATTAGTAACAAATCAATAACATAACGAGAGATTGCAATTAGATCTAATTAAAGCAAAGAACGATAACCACTCACCATTTTGGGTTAATTTTTCAAAATAGCGAAGCTCGAGAGACAGAGAGAGAGAGATTGAGGCTGTTCTTAAAATGATTTTATAGAGAGAGGTTTTAAGGAGATCTTGTGCGGTAAGGTTCAGGGATTTGGAAGATCTGGAACGTTGGTGAACGTGGGCTTCGTTACGTGGAGGGTGGATATTCAAAGAGTGACGTGTGTGTAGAGGATGGAAGCTATGGGTTTTCAAAATTCAAACTGGTTCAGGTGGCTTAAGTTTGACGCACGAATCTAGACCGTCCGATTTTTGGGAATCTAGGGTTTGATCTCTTGACGTGTGGGTCGTGTATTGGAATTATGCTCGCTGTGTTCAGATTTTTTTTTTACTTTTAGATATGATAAATTGATAACTTTAATTAAATACTATTTTAATATTTAATTGATAACCGAACATGGAATGAATATATTAAATTATTATAACCTAAAGATAACAAATTTTGTCCCGTTTAATATATAAATTAATATTTTTTTATATATCAAAATTATATATATTCATGACTCAATTAAAAGATTTTTATAAAATATAACTCCAACATTTTTTTCTAAAAAATAATTTATATCTATTTCATTTCTAATTTTTTTAATATATTGATAAGCTCTATATATTATTTTTGTAGAAAATTATATGATATGATTCTTATTGTAAGTGTAGATTTCCATTGTTTGGTTTTCTAAAACATATATATTTAGTAAAAATGATAAATTTAAATTATTTTTTAAAATTTCAAGGATCCCATTAAATAAATATAAAGTTTTTTAGGGTTTATATAAAAATTATTTAAAAATGAAATGTTTTTTTTGTTTTGAATATTTGTTTTAAAGATAGGTTGTCGCAAATCACAAGTTGTCCATGCGTTTGGTCTCCAATAATAATTTACACAAACCACTAATAAGAAATCTTTTAAACTCTTTTATGAGAAATTGATTGTTATACCTTAGAGTGTTATGTTTTTCATGTTATATATATATATATATTGTAGGTCTTCACGTACTATAATTTTCTCACCATCACTTAAAAAATAATATGTATAACATTCTATTTATAGATGAACCTAAAAAACCTTATATATGAAAAAAAATATCAATTTGTCTTTTAAATAATATCACATATATTATTTTAGGATGATTTAAGAAATTTATTCAATCAAGTCCCTACTTAATTTTTTTATATCTAGAATTATAATTCCTTGTATTAATTACATTATAATTCTCAATTTATAAAATTTATTTACAATTAAGTCACATTTGATTAATTATCACACTTTAATTTTTAATCAATGATTTTTATATACGTGACCTATCAACTTCCTTGATAAGTTGGATAAATATAAATAAGATAAGATTAAATAAATTAAACAAGTTAATTTATTATCAATTCAATAAGTGATTGACTTATATTTGAAGGTCAAGTATAATATCTAATAACCTATTATGATCTCTTAAATATTAGAAAAGTCATAAGTGATTTGATTTGACATTTCAGTAACTAGTTTCTAGGTATAATTAGTATCCCTTCATCAAAAAATATTTCAATTTAGATATTATAGCATGTAATATGTCTCCTTTTCAAATCATGTTAGTTCTCAGCATTATAGTTATTGATTTTTTGAGTAAGATTTTGAAACTCTTTTTAAATCTCATTTCATCTTAACTAAAAATTTTACAATCAATACTATTTGAGAATAGATATAATATTTTTTCTAATTTACATGGGGTAATAAATTATCTCTTGATTATTTAATTACTTTCATATAGTTTAATTACATAAAATATTTGTTTGTTTGTTACCTTTAATTAGGACAACATGTGGCTAGGATCAAAGCACAACACTTTTTATATAAGTGTAATTGTATTTAAAAAAACACATATGTAAAGTGTAGATTCCTCCTTTTATGCCATAGAAAATCATGTCCATAAAATCATGACATATTATACCCACAACATATAAAACTAATTTTAAAAATCTAGTAAAAGCATGAATTGCTTTATTCATTAACTTTGATTTTTTTTTTATCCAAGAACTCACCGTAACAAATGTATATAAGTTACAAAATAAGACATAAACATTTAATTAAATTATCTTTTATTAATTTGAGTCTCCTCTTTCCCACCAATAAGGACCCAATATGAATTAAAAATGTCCCGAATTATAGTTCCCTAACTAAAATATGTTAAGTTTGAGAAAATCTAAAAATAGGTGGATCTGCTATTATGGGTAAAAATATTTTTGATTACCTTACCTTTTAAATTGTAATTGTTAATTTCTAAACAACAATTTTGTTAGCCATGATACATTTGCAATCTTGCAGGAAATGTTATCCTAAAAAGTTATATTAGCTTATTTGTCTCCAAGTAGTGGGTGATGTATCGATTAATATATAGACTACATCAACTTTTACTATATGCTTTTCCATGTCTTTACTAAAAAAAGATTTTCTTCCCTTTAATATTTTAACATACTAAGAAGGTCTGAATTATAAATAAAAAGATAATTATTATTTCAAGAGAGCAGCAACAATCCTCCATTAGAAGCAATAATGACGTTTTAACATAACAACTAAAAGTTCGTTCTAAAAGAAAATTCACAAATAATGACCAACATATGTTACAACTCAAATTTAACTAGCAAAACTCCTACAAATTTACTACTTAAAACAATCAAAATGGTATTTGATGAAGTTGATGAAGGCTTTTTCAAGGCTAACAATGGACTGGGTAGTACTGGTGTGTTTTGTGTTAGTATCATCTGCAAATCAACTATTCGATACTTAAGTCAATTTTTTAGTTTTTGTTATTTAAAAGAGTAATAAGTAAAAACTTATTTAGAAGATAAAAGATGTGATTTTGTTATACGTGGTTAAGAGATGAGATGAAGGTCAAACTTAGGAACAATAAGACTATTTATTGCTTATCTTGCAAAGTGGCTACACTAAAAAGATCATTTCCTTATGAAATAAGAGAGCGGGCTTTATTGGTTTAGAAAGCAATGCTTGATTGACCATCTTGTTTATCTAATAAAAAGTGTGGGTTTGAATATTTTATTTATTGAATTATATGATAAAATTTATTAGGTGAAGAGAATACTAAAAAAAATAATGTAGAAAAAATCGGTTAAAAAGGAGAAAAATATATGTATTTAAAAAAACACAAAAAGTACTGAGTTTTTCCTATATTGGCCTAGGTTGCCCCTAAGGGCACGTATACCTTGACGTGGTTCTATATTAGGTTCCAGGAGTAATGGGGCCACTTCATCTAAGTCAAATGGCCCTTTATCCAGGTAGAATAACGAAGCATCCAATTCTCATCAACCTATTCATCATGAGTTGCATGATTGCTATAATTCTACTTTGAGTACACACATACTCAACAAGATTATGGGAGGAGGGATGATTATCAATTCTACAAGGGCTTTCACTTTCAAGATTTTCTTTAAACTTAAAAAAGTTTCCCTTTAGATTACCCATGTGCTTTTGAATGGGATAATATTGATGGGGGTTATTATGATTAGAAGGGCAAGGTTGTTAGGAGAGGTGAGAGAGTTGAGGAAGATAAATGAGAACATTATGAGAGAGTAGATAATGATAATTATGATAATGATGAAGATGAGAAAAATGATGTTAATGCAAGAGGATGAGGTGATGAGAGAGACGATTGTAATGTTAGAGATTTAGAGGATATCTCATTAATTCGCGATTCAAAATCTTCTCCATTGCATCACGAGCAAATGGTTCAAATAAGGGTTTTGACACACTAAACATCCAATTACAAAAAAAAAAAGTTTCATCTATATGAAATAATAGAGTAAGTTGAAATTTATACGATCATTGTGCTTTATAATTATTTTTTAAGCTTCATTGTTGTAATGAATCTTTGTTATTTTTTTAAGTTTCAATAACTCATTGTGTGGGTGTGAGATCAAACTTATTTTGAGGTGAAATTTTAAAGGAGCATGACACAATTGGAAAAGAGTTGACTCAACTTATAGGGATGAACTCTTTAAAGAGTTTAAAGTATGAAATTATACATTTGTATTTTAATTTTAGATATAATTATGTGTTAATGAAATAAACTAGCATTGTAGGACTTGATATATGTAATAGGGAGCTATTTTGGTAAAAGGATGCAAAAATCTATTTATAATGAAAATAAGCTATTGTAAAGCCATAAAGAAACATGAAACTTAAGACTTAAGATTTAAGATTTAAAAAATAGTTGGTTTGAACTTTCATTATTTATCCCTATATACTGCAGAGGTTTAAAACATGATTGCTTTTTGCTTTGGTGATGCGTTTCTTATTAATACATGTGGCACTTATTTATGACATTTCTTTGTAAAGATACAAGTTAAGTTACCATGAAAATTCTGTAATTGTTTGAATTTAATGTTTATATAGGGCATCATTACTTGTAATTAGATTACATGACTGTGAACCCATGTCATTCTTTTGGTTCATGATTTTTCTTTTTTTCTTAATGAGTATTTTTCATTCGAGACTTTTGTTTGGTGTAAGGCTGAATATTGAACGATGACATATTAGTAGAGATCTTAATTTGCGTAATTTTTTATTTAGCAATCTTAATTGCCTGTCATTTTAATGACCTTGGTTCATTATATCAAACCAATTCATATATTTTTATATTTTAAAAATATTATAATAATAAGAATACAAAACAAATTAAATTCTATTTTATGATGTAGTTAAGAAGTTATTATTTTAATAATATTTATTGTTTGTCTTTTTGGCTATTGGTTGTTTATACATTGTAATTATAGAGGTTAGTTGACAATTATATTAAGCTTTGTTTTTATTTTTTTAGTAGAAAAAATATACATTTTCTAAAGATGATGAACTAATTATTTATAAGATTTGAGAAGATAAGACTATAATTGCTTTGAACCAACAATTGACTCAAGCTCGTAAGAGAACTATGTTAGATAGAGATACTACAAATATTATAGATTGTATTAATAAAGGTCCTGTTTGGATAAATAATGATGATTGAAATCAAAAGATTAAAGATATT